GGGTTGAGGCCAGGCAACTGGTCCTGATAAGGGACTCAGGGCACCGTAGGACTGCCAGGCCCATCGGCAAGCTCAGATGGGCTGTCTCTGCCTCTGCCCCAGGTGCAGGCAGGGACGCAAGACCAGACCCGGTCCGTACACTCTGCCCTTAACATCCCCGTGCTGTCCGCGGAGGCCGAGGACCTTCCCGGGCAAGGGCCGGGTCCTCCTCCCACCTCCTCGCCGCCGCTCCTGCGGCAGGCCTCGCGCAGCCTCCTCCCATTGGCTCAGACCTCCGCAGATCCGACCAATGAGCAGGCTGGGTTCCGGCACGGGGCGGCCCCCCGCGCGCCGGCGTTAACACCCCTTGGGCCAACGCTGGGTAGGCAGGACCTGGTCTTTCTTTACTCTTAAAGGGCCGGCTGCTGAGACCCGGCCTCTGGAGGAGATGCTGCCGACGGGGAGGGGTGTGTGGGACCTCGAGCCCCGAGAGCTCTGGACCTCTCCTCCAAGAGAGTGGAGCCGGCGCCGGCTGCGCGTAGCCGCCGAGAGGGAGCTTATGTTGGCAAGACTCTTGGAAAAAGTCTTTTAACAAGGAGGGAAACAAATCATAATATTTCCTTCTCTGGCTTCCCACCCTGGTTGCTTGGAAAAGCACCCCCATAAGAAGGCTCACCCCCAGTAGAACTGTGTCCCCCTCAGAACGTTGACTCCTGCAGTCAGTAGGATCCTGCCTCCCACCCCTGTCGTGTCCATCAGGTAGTCTGAAACCTGAACTTTCTGTGTATGAACTGGAGGACGAGCTGGTTGTGGTTTGGGGGGGGGGGGGGGGGGTAGGGAGGCGAGATAAGGAGTCTTGCTGGAGCTTAGGAGGCCTGAGATCTCCAGAAGCGGCTGTCTGGGGTTGGGGGGCGGGGAAGGTGGTTACAGAGGAAGAGGTGAGGTCAGGAAGAAGTTGCTCCCCTGTTTCTGTGCAGCCCTAGGACTGTTGAGAACCCCTCCTTCAACATTACCGCCTCACTATGTGACCTTGATAGGTCCCTGTCTGGACCTCAGCTTCCTCATTAGCAAGTGGGGAGAGGGGGTGTGGACCATGGGTTTACTCAGGTCCCTTGTGCCTCTAAATTGATGGTATAAACCATAACTGGCTGAGAGGCCAGGCATCAGATAGAAATAGAACGAAATACGAAAAATCTCTCTAAAGGGAGGCCTTCTGGCATCCTCCCAAGAGGAGAAGGTGGGCCTGGGGGTGATGGGACATGCCCACCGTCGCCACCGGAGGTCCACCCGGCACCAGGGAAGTCCTGAGGACGGAGGCCCTGGTCCTCTGAGTGTCCCCCGCCCCCTCCCCTGCCTGACCCTTGGCCGCCCTCCCCTTCCACTTGGCTCCCACCCTCTGGAAGCTCTGTCCTGCTGGGCCTTGGCTGCTGTCTCCAGCAGGTGGGGTGGGGGCCGCTCACGAAGTGGGGCCCACTGAGCTCCCTCAGCAGGTTCCCTATGGGCACCCCATAAGGGGTCTCTGAGAAGAACTGGCTTATCTGCATGGAGCTGAATCCTTGAGGGACCCTGGCCCAGACTGGAGGAAGCCTCTCTCCTCTCCCAGGCCCCGGAAAAGGGCTTGGCAAACCCTTATCGCCTGAGACGCAGCTGCTGGAGAAATACCTTAGCAGCTGACTCACTGGGCTCCTCACAGCCCTCTCCCACTGGGCCCCACACCAGGGCTTTGAGAGACCCCGAGAGAAAGAGACGGAAAGAGAGAGAGAGGGCGCCCCCAGCTGGGCTGGCCCAGACCCCGCCGAAGGTGCGACCAGCACAGTCCAGCCTGTGACTGACCGTCTGGCTGAGGGGCATTGAGCCCGGTGGATGGCTTTGGCTGGGATCGCTATTATTCTTAGAGACTTGTTCAGCCTCTGTACTGCCTCACCCCAGGCATTGATGGATCATTGACATACTGATGGCGTTACTCTCTGGGGTATAAGGCCCTGTCCCTCCACCAACAGTTGTTGAGTGTCTGTCCTGGGCCAGGGACTGGGACCCAGCAGGTGAACAAGTGCAGACCCTAGCTCTAGGAGTTCACAGTCCAACAGGTGAGCAATTCCTGACCAGGGGAAATTCCGCTGCCCCTGGGGAAGGACTGGGTGGTGGCAGGTTGTGGACCCTTCACTGCTCTCTTTGGCTCCCTGGGCCTCGGTTTCCCTATCTGCCAAATGTAGAAATGCAACTTCCTTGTCTCCTTGGGTAGTTGTGAGGATTAAATAAGACGGTGCCTATGAAAGTGCTTTAGAAAGTTAAAATCACAAGACAAATGTAGGCTAGTGATGATAAGTTCTGACCAGCTAGGGAGAGAGGAGAGTGCTTAAGTCAATGGATTTCTGAACTCATTTTATCCTGGATTCTCTGATTTGGGGGGCGGACCAAACCACCTCCCTGCATTGGCTCCAGGCTCAGTTCACCTCAGGCCCAGGGTTAGGCTTTTCATAAAACAGCAATTATTGAGCACCCACTGCATACTATGCCCTGTTCTCAGTGTTATAGGTATTTACTATGCAGATGTATTTGTATGTTATATGGATACATGTGTTTCATGTATTTCCTCACTTTATCCTCATAATCCCATGAGGGTGGCATTAAGCACCTAGTGCATATTTGATCCTCATAACAACACTATGAGGTTGGAACTATTATTTCCCCCATTACAGATGAGGAAACTGAGGCCTAGAAAAGTGAATTAATTTAGCAAGGCGTGAGCTAAGAGTCAGAAGTCTTGACCCCCTGAATCTTATTCTCACACCAAGGGCTTTTCTGCTCTCCCTTTCCAGACTAGGACAAGTGCCAATTATTCTAGGCCAGGAAGTCAACAACTCCAAAAGTCAGTTCTTACCTCTTCACCAGCTGGGACCCCCAGGGTCAGAAGCAAAACCCCAGCAAATTCATTCAGTCAGTGAAAAACGAATGAACAGGAGGCTTCCCTGTGGTTAAGACTCCGTGCTGCCACTGCAGGTGGGGGCTGGGGATGGGTTCGATCCCTGACTGGGGAACTAAGATCCAACGTGCAGCCCAGAGCAGCCAAAAAAAAAAAAAAAAGTGAAGAACACATTTATAATTCCTTAGAGAGAAAAAACAAGAACCCCCTATGTACCAGCTGCTGCTGGGTGCTTTATTAATAAGAGGTTTTTGTTGAGTAATTACTATGTACCAGGAACTATTCTAAGTGCTTTACATATATTAACTTGTTTAATCTTCACAATAACCCTAGCAGATAAGAACTGTTATCATCCCCACTGTACAAAGGAGGAAATGAAGCATAGAAACACTGATCAACTTTCCTAGGATCACGGAGACCAATATTTTCCAGACTATTTTGTTTCTGAGAAATATATTTTACATCCTTCTCATGAACATACACACACACATAACTGAGATAAAAATTTACCACATATTTAACTTCCCCATGCTCAGCACACCCTGATATTTCTCTAATCTATTTTGTTCTGTTTTCTTTTTCCTTAAATTCTGGTCATGACCTGCTTCACAGCCCACTACTGAGTCACCCCCTGCAGTCTGAATGGCACTGAGTCATAGCGAGGAGCATCAGGGCCCAGATTCAAACCAAGCGATACGGCTCTGGAGCCTGATCTCTTGACATAAAGAATGTCTGGGAAAACGGAAACACTGGAGGCATGAGGAAAAGTGAGGACCGTGCCGATGAGGGGAGCAGCTGTTCACTCAGTCGTGTCCGACTCTTTGTGATCCCGTGGACTGCAGTTCACCAGGCTCCTCTGTCCTCCACTATCTGCCGGAGTTTGTGCAAACTCATATCCATTAAGGGGAGCAGAGTCCTCGATAATCTCACCACCTTGCATTCCAGCAAAAGAGAATAGAATACAAAAGTCACTGATAACGCCTTTGGAATGCAAACTTGCTCGCGGAGATTGAGTTATTCTTTAGTCCTTAGTTCCTTGGTCCTCTTGTGATGGAAGTAGGGTGGGCTGAGAAGCAGGCTTGGGCAATCTAAGTGATTTGACCAAAGTCATAGGGCCAGAATTATAGCCGTGTGTCCTATCACTTGGATTCTTTCACACCATCCAGAGCACAACCTTGAGGATACTGACTTAGAGGTTGGAGACATCAGTGGAGGTGGTGGTGATGGTAATGTGCTTATGGGGTGAGAGTAGTGATAGAAAGAATGATAGTTGGGGGACTTACCTGGTAGTCAAGTGGCTAAGATTACCCCAAGTTCCCAATGCAGGGGGCCGGGTTTGATCCCTGGTCAGGGAACTAGATCCCACATGCTGCAACTGTGGGATCCTGGCCACGTGGGTTCAAGTCCCAATCTGAGGTACACGCTTTCAGTGGGAAGAGTGATGGGAAGGTTGCAGGTGTTGACTAAAAAAGATGCACAACAGGAGAGTTGGGAGTTAAGTTTTATTTGGGGGCAAAATGAGGACTGTAACCCAGGAGAGAGCACCTCAGACAGTTCTGAGAAACTGCTCCAAAGAGGTTGTGGGGGAAGATCAATGCATATGATTCTGGTGAAGGGGGCATTCCATGCAATCCAGCACTTTACTTACAAAAGATGTTCTGCTAATTATGAGGAGCTGATGTCACCAATGAGGAGATTTAGTGCTTGTCTAGATATGAGGAGATGCAAGGATTGGGATCATGAAATCAGTTCCTGAAAATATCCAGCTCTCTAAAGACCTGTGTCACTCATTTTTCTGGAGCACAAAGTGCCTGATTCTTTTCTCTGGACTCCCGTCAGGGCACGTCAGAGGTCAACAGCTGCAGTAGCACGGGCTTCAGTCTCCCACAGATGGTGGTTTAGTTGCTTAGTCGTGTCCAACTCTTGGCGACCCTATGGCCTGCAGCCCGCCAAGCTCCTCTGCCCATGGGATTTTCCAAGCAAGAATCCTGGAATGGGTGGCCAGATGGCAAATAGCCTTGGCAAGCGCCCGTTTGGCGTTGACACGGGGACCACGGTGGATAAGCTGACCCCCTCCTCCCCTCTCCTCCTCCCCTAGCACTTCCCCGAGCACCTGGACCACTTTGCCGAGAACATGGAGGACTTCTCCAACGACCTGTTCAGCAGTTTCTTTGATGACCCTGTGCTGGACGAGAAGAGCCCTCTCCTGGACATGGAACTGGACTCCCCCACGCCGGGCATCCAGGCCGAGCACAGCTACTCCCTGAGTGGTGACTCTGCACCTCAGAGCCCCGCCATGCCCATCAAGATGGAAGACACCACCCAAGGTAAGAAGGGGTGGCAGGGCCCAGGACCCCAGACCCAGAGAAGCCGCTCACAGCCACCTCTCAAGGGAGACCATCCTCTGTGTTTCGGCTCTTCCTCAAGTCCAACCCAGAAGGGCCCTTGTAAAGAGGCTCTTCCACTGACTTGATGTGCAAAGGGGTAGGTCCCAGACCAGCAGCAATACCTGGGAACTCGTTGGAAAGGCAGGTTCTTGGGTCCCACCCAGACCTGCCAGATCAGAAACCCTGTGGGGAGGATCCAGCCTTCCAGGTGACTCCGACTGATGCTTAGGTCCGAGAACCAGTCTTAGATGAAACAGCTGAGGGGTTTGGGTGGGGAGGATTAAACAGTAAGTGTGGACAAGTTACCAAGACTCTAGAACCTTACCGCCTCATCACGCTGTGAGGTCCTCTGAGTCATTACCTGGGAGAGACACCTGCACCCTACTTTTATTCCCGAAGGCGGGATTCCCTAAAGCTCTCCTCTGCCCACCTCCTCCCCTTTTATGCAAAGGACCCTTTGAGTCTTTCCTCTCAGGTGATCAACATTGGAGAATACCAGCCTGTGCCCTCCCTAGAAAGTCTCTTTGGGCATATCCTCAGATACAGGTGGTGCTGGCTCTGTCCTGTTTGGCTGGGTAATCCTGGACTCAGCCTTTATAAGCCCCAGTTTCTTCATCTCATATGGGAGTAACAGTAAACCGTTTTGATAGCACTGTCCAGTTTACAGAGTACCTTCATGTTAATTATCTCGTTTATTTCTCACAACTCACAGGTGAGGTCAGAGTCATTTTTATCATACTCCCCATTTGTCTGGTAAGGGAAATGAGACTTCAGGGAAGCTGAGTTGTTTTGGCCACACACGTAGTAAAATGCAGAGCAGGGACCTGGGAGCAAGCAGGTCCCTGGTTCTAAACCTCATACCCTTGCCACCACCACACTTGCCAGCCTTAACGGGCAGTAAGGGTACTGGCTTTGGTGTGCATCCCGGTGCCTCCAGAAGCTGCTGTGTGACCTTGAACGAGTTGCTTAACCTCTCTGAACCTCAATTATCAAACGAAGACATAAATAGCTTGAGAATTCTGGCTACTATATACATATATGCAAGTGAAAGTGACAGTCACTCAGCCATGTTCGAGACTTTGTGGACTGTGGCCCGCCAGGCTCCTCTGTCCATGGCATTCTCCAGGCAAGAATACCGGAGTGGGTTGCCATTCCCTTCTCCTGGAGATCTTCCGGACCCAGAGATCGAGCCCAGGTCTCCCGCGTTGCAGGTGAATTCTTTACTGTCTGAGCCACTAGAGAAGTCCCAATATAAATATATTTATGTGTGTCTATCTATATATACTTGTTGTTATTCAGTCGCTAAGTGTCTGACTCTTTGTGACCCCATGGACTGCAGCACGCCCGGCTTCCCTGTCCTGCACCATCTCCATATGTATAGTTTGCAGCTATTTCATTGTGTATATAAGGTCCTGTTAAGACGATAGTGGCTAGAACCATGAATAGGGTTTTTGTTCCTCCTTCTCTTCAGAGGACAATGGTCTTGAGTGGAGTCTTTTAATTTTCTCATCTATTAAGTGAACAGATGGCCCCCAGGGCTGATGGTAGGAATACACAAATTCACATGCATCAAGAGCTTAGAATTGGTCTCAGTGCAAGATGTGTGAGCTGCTTCTGAGGGTCTTTGAGATTCCCCATGGGCAGAGACAGGCCCTTTTACCCCACCCCCATCCACCCACCCGCATCCACCTACTGAGGGCTGGGACACCTACTGGGGCTTTAAGAGGCTCCAGGGCTGGTAGCTGTGGAGGTCCCAGCAGTTTCCCTACATGCCCTGACCTCAGCCCTGCCCTCTGGAGGTCACCTCAATGGGGCCGCGGGCCCCAGCCTGGGGAAGGGCAGCGGGTGGGGTGGACCACCTCCCAGCCTGGCAACTCCTGGCCACCCCAAGTCTATTTTTAGAGCAATTTGTCTGTGGGTCCTTTGCAGGGGGCGGCTTCCCGGAGGCCAGCAAGCTGGCCCTGTAATTTGGGAAGATTGTGGGTGTTCCTGGAGCCCAGGGGCGGGGGCCCTCAGGCTCCCTGTGGGGTGGGGCCTGGCCTCAGAGGTGGGATCAGGCGGCAGCTGACCCCTCTCCCCACCCATAATGAGCCTCAGAGCCTCCAGTCCCTCTGGCCCCTCCGTGCCGGCTCCGGGCCAGGTGCTGGGGCCACCAGGAGCAGAGCTGACTTGGAGAGGAGGACTGTAGGCAACCATCAGGAAAGGGGGGGGATGCCCAGCAGCCCTGTGGCCCAGATAAGGCCAGGAGGCCCACGAGGTGGGCGGGAGGTGGACACTGCCCCGAGAAACCTGGGCATCACCCATCCTCCCATCCAGGCACCAGACAGTCCCGTGGATTCTTCCTTCTTATCTTGTCTCCAGGATGTTCTTCACCCCATTGCCACTGCCTTAGCGTGTGCCGCCTTTCCTCTCTCCGGAAACAGCCTCCTGAAGGTCTCACCGCCTCCATCTCGCCTGCAGCCAGTCCAGTCTGCACACAGAGGCAGAGTGATCTTTTTTAACTTCACAAACCCGAGCGTGCTTAAAGCCCTTCAGTGTCTCCTCGTTACCCTTAGGACAAAGTCACAGCTCTGAGTCCAGCCTCCAGGGCCCACCCATCCCTTCTGGCCTCTCTGACTCCATCTTCCCCCTCCCCTTTGCGTTCTAACTGTGCTAAACTGCTCGTGACTTTCTCCAGACCCCCAGCACCTAGCATGGCGCTCATTAGATGTTTGCTGAGTAATCGTAATGTAATCGTATTCACAATAGCTGCCATTTGTTGAACATTTACTTCTTGACCAGTACTTTTACAGATGAGGAAGCTAAGGCTCAGAGAGGTTACTCACCTTGTCTCAGGTCACACAGCCAGGCAGGAGGGGTCTGTTGTCCAAGCCCACTCTGAAAATAAACTGCTGAATGAAGACGATGCCTCCATCTGTTCTGGCCCCAGCCCCCTCTGCCCTCCCACCTCACCAGCGCCGCCCCCCCCACCCCTCTCCTCCGGCTTCCCGTGTACCCTGACATCTCTCCACGGCCTGCGCAGCCCAGGGGCCGGGGCGGGGCTGAGCGCCTGCCCTGGGAGCCCCCTGAGCCTGCGTCCCGCCCCCTTCCCTAGATGTGGACCACGGAGCGTGGGTGCTGGGACACAAACTGTGCTCCGTCATGGTGAAGCAGGAGCAGAGCCCGGAGCTGCCCGTGGACCCGCTGGCCGCCTCCTCAGCCATGGCCGCCGCCGCCGCCATGGCCACCACCCCGCTGCTGGGACTCAGCCCCCTGACCAGGCTGCCCGTCCCCCACCAGGTGAGCCTGGGGCCAGTTTACAAGGGCCGAGGGAGGGCGGAGGGGGGATGGATCTCTGTAGGAAGGGCCATCCAAAACCCTGGCACCCCAGGACTTTGAACAGGGAGCAGCATGGCCCTCAGGAGCCTCCAGACTCTGTCTCTGTCCCCACCTTGGGCCACCCTTTCACCACCAAGACCAGACTCAGACCACAGGGGCCCTCACTGTGTGCAGAAGAAGATGAAGGGGTCCAGGCAGGGCTGGGCATCAGGGACCCGGTCCAGGGTCTCAGGGTAGGAGACAGCCCAGGCCACTTAATTTTCTCAGTGTCCAGATTTTTAAAGACAAAGAAACATCTAAATGGAAATATAAAAATTATACCCTATTTCCATTGTTTATATTCATGAGATGAATATGTTTAACCTACGCTCACAGGCAGGCTCTCCCCCCGTGAATGTCTAGATACCATCGCTCAGCTATAGTACCAAAGTGGACATCTGAAGACCCTTCTGGGGACGTGAGGCCCAGACACCCGGCTCCTGGGAGAGGCCCTGCCTGGTCCCAGCTCTGGCCTCAGCTGTGTTCTGGGCGCGTTGCCTTCCTTCTTCATTCCTCAGCTTCCTTCTCTGTAGAATGGGAGCGTAAACTACACCTAAGGGGCTCCTACTCTTGCATCTAAAACACAAGTTGTTGTTTAGTCACTACGTTGTGTCCGACTCTTTGCGACCCCAGGGACTGTAGCCCACCAGGCTCCTCTGTCCACGGGATTTCCCAGGCAAGACTACTGGGGTGGGTTGTCATTTCTTTCTCCGGGGGATCTTCCCGACCCAGGGATACGAAGCCGCATCTCCCACATTGGCAGGAGCATCCTTTACCACTGAGTCACCGGGATGCCCTTGGAATCCCTTGAGTCGGGGTTTGGCTGGCACCGCCCCCTGCTGGCCACACGGCTCAACTGCTCAAAACGCACATGGCCCTAGGGCTTCCCAGGTGGTATCCTTGGTAAAGAACCTGCCGGACAGTGCCAGAGATGTAAGAGATATGAGTTTGATCCCTGAGTCGGGAAGATCCACCGGAGGAGGAAATGGCAACCCACTCCACTTCAGTATTCTTGCCTGGAGAATCCCATGGACGAGAGATCCTGGGGTCGCAAAGAGTCAGACATGACTGAAGCGAATTAGCACGCACACAGAGGCAAGAAAGGGCATTCCCTCCTCCTCCACCAGGGACCGGGGGGTTCAGGGCTGGCTGCAGACAGGGAGGATCTTTGGGGACCATCTCCAGGGCTGGCTCTGCGACTCCTGAGACCTCCCCAGAGGAGGAAGGGAAGACAAGATGGCCGTGGAGACAAGGTCATGGAAGTCAGGCGCTGGCCTCAGGGGAGGGAACTGAGAGGTTAAGCAGCTTGCCCCACGTTGCACAGTCGGACGAAATGGAGCTGCATTCCAGACTCAGCCATCAGACCCCGAAGCCCACCTTTTCCACTCTAGTGAGGTCACGACCCCCTGGCGGAAGGTTTGGGAACCAGGGGTTGAATGGCGAGAATGAGCCTGTGACCCACTGAAGTGGAATCACCCTATTGCGTCTCAGTCCTTTCATCTGTCACTTGAGGGCTCAGCTGGGATGTAGACCAGGGAATATCCAAGGTCCCAGCTAGCCTCACCCTCCCTTGATTCCGATTCATCTGCTGAAATTCAGGATTCTGGGTCCCACCCACGATATCACGACCTCTCTCTGCTGGCTTTGGACCTGGAGGGGAGAGATGGGCCTGAAATCCAGCACCCAACACAGTGTCTTCTCAAAGAGAACACCCCTTATGTGCATGTTGGTACTCCTGCATAGGAAGCCATGCATGCTGATGTCCTTTCTGAAACAGCAGGCTGGAATGGTATAAAGAAATAGGAATGCGGGTTTGTTTAAAGCATTCATCTAATTCTACCTTGCTTAAAACCCATTGTGCGTGCGTGCTAACTCACTTCAGTCATGTCCGACTTGTTGCAACCCCATGGACTGTAGCCCACCAGGCTCCTCTGTCCATGGGATTCTCCAGGCAAGAATACTGCAGTGGATTGCCATGCCCTCCTCCAGGGGATCTTCCCCACCCAGGGTTAGAACCCACGTCTCTTATGTCTCCTGCACTGGCAAGTGGTTGCTTTATTACTAGCAATACCTGGGAAGCCGCTGAAACCCATTAGGGGTCCTCCTTGTTTCAGACTTCTTTCTCTGGCTTCTCCTCCTCCCACCACATCCTCTCCCTGGATCTTCTGGTCTTGTGTCTGACCACTCCGCCTCTGACATAGAACCTACCCTCTGGACACCCTCTTGTCCTCGCCATTTCCGGATCTAGCTGGGCTCTGTCTGGGCACTGTGCTTTTGCAGATGCTTTTTCCTCTACGTGGAGTGCCTTTCCCCTCACCCACGGCCTGCCCCACCCTGTATCTGGAATACTGCTGTTTATACTTCAGGACTCAGACTTCAGCTGCTCAGGACGCTCGGGGACCTTTCTCTAATGCCTCCTTCATCGTGCTGTGGTTACTGTTCAGTGAACAGCCACAATCTGCCAGACGTGACATTATGTGGGTCTCCTGGCAACCCACATACCCAGACTGCATGGCGTTCACCTCCGGTGTGGGGTCACCCTCCTCCAAAAAAGACGGCCCTGGCCTCAGAGGCCACAGGAAGCCCCTCTTCCCTGCACTCAGGAGCTACACGATGCCCCTTGGCCACTGCTGTCTTCCCTTAGGCCTGACTTACCTTCTGTAAGCACAGAAACTTGTCTCTGCTCCCTCTGGGATATGCCTGGAACCCTGAGCCCAGCTACTTTCTTAATGCTGTAGGGCAGAACCCCCCAGGCCCAGGGAGGGAGGGAGGTTGGAGGGCCTGGTGGGGACAGGCCCCCGGAGCAGCTGATGGAGCAGGCCCTGCCTCTTCCTCAGGCCCCAGGAGAGATGACTCAGCTGCCAGTGATCAAAGCCGAGCCCCAGGAGGTGAACCAGTTCCTCAAAGGGACACCAGGTGAGTGTGTCTGGAGAGAGGCTCTTCATCGCCAGTCCTCGTCAGACTGCATTCCTTACCCCTTGGCTCAGCCCACCTGTCTCCCTCTATATATCCGTTTTCTCCCCGTAATAGTCTCTCCTCCCTTCTGTGCCCATTCCCCATCCCTCCAGTCCCCTTCTTACTCAACAACTGTCATCACTATTATCACCACCTTCTCACTCTGTTTGCTACTTTCCCCTCCCATGATTCACTAACTGAAGTCCTCTCTGTAGCCATCAGCTCATCCATCCATTCACCCATTTACTCATTTACCCATCCATCTCTCCATCCTTGCAGCTATCCATTCATCCACCCATCCAACGAGAGTACACTGGGCATCTCCTGGTTCCAGGAGCTGGGGACGCAGAGAGAGAAAACAGTTGCTGTACCCGAGGAGCTGACACTGTAGTGAGGGTCCCAGACAAACCACCAATGACACAGTTGTGTTATGGGTTAAAGGTGACAGATCCCAAGAAATACCTCCCCAGACCTGACAGGAGAGGAGAGAACAGAGGGAGCTTCTTGGATTGAGCAGGAGAAAGGGCTAACTTAATCTTTCCAATCCCACCTCATTCGTTCATCCAACACTGATCAAGCAGCACCTGTGTATCAGGCCCTGGACTAAGCACCGCAAGGTTTAGAAAGATGAATAAGGCCCAAGTTTCACCCTCAAGTTACTCATAGCTTCTGAGAGAAGATGGAATTAACCAGAGGTAGAAAGGGACCAGTGTGAAACACCTTACATTGTAGAGTGCCCTTCATAAAGCATGGTCCCATCTCTTAGCCCATTGCATCCTCCCAGCTCCATACAGGGAGTCCTTTCACCCCACCCCACCCCCCATTCAACAGGAAAGTGAGGCTGGGAGATGTTAAGTAAACATGAATATAGGTCGCATAGTTGTGGGGTACAACAGTCAGGACTTGAACTCAGGTCCGACTCCAAGTTCGGTGGTCCTTACAGTATGGCATCCACGAGAGGCAAATAAGAGCCAAAGAAGAGAGAGGGGACCCCTGTAGGAGGCAGCGGTGGGCAGAGCCCAGAAGGACGCAGCGGTTCCTCCTCCCAGTGTCAGCCCAGCTCTGCGGTGCAGTGAGCGCCAGATTCCCGCGTGTGCGTGCACGCGCGCTCAGCCATGTCCGACTCTGTGGGACCCCAGGGACTCCAGCCTTCCAGGCTCTTGGTCCTCTTGGCTCGGCTCAGGCCTCTTCCTGATGCTGCGGCCAAGAGAGGAGGCGTGAAGGGCGTGCAGGGGAGAGCAGTGCTCTGGCAGGTCTGCTGAAAGTCCAGTGCCTGCTGCCCTGTTACCCTGAGGTTGGAAATGGACATCCTGGTGTTTTGAAATGGAAAGAAAGGGACAGAGGCTGTCGCTTGCCCTGCCTGATCCCCATGGGTCTTGCTGTGGGCAGACTCCAGTCATCTCCTGGGGTTGCCAAGTTGGAGGCTCACAGACCCTGAGCCCTTTGAAGTGAGGGTTTAGTCACTAAGCCGTGTCCGACTCTTGCAACCCCATGGACTGTAGCCCGCCAGGCTCCTCTGTCCATGGGGTTTCCCAGGCAAGAACAGTGGAGTGGGCTGCCATTTCCTTCTCCAGGGGATCTTCCCGACCCAGGGATCAAACCTGGGTCTCCTGCATCGCTGGCAATCTCCTGCATTGCAGGTGGAGTCTTTACCGACTGAGCCACCAGGGAAAGGAGACCCGAGAATCCAGCCACTGTGTTATCCCTGCCAAGTGTTAGCGTTAGTCGCTCAGTCATGTCCAACTCTGCGACCCCATCCATGGACTACACCAGGCTCCTCTGTCCGTGGAATTCTCCAGTAAAGAAAAGTGGAGTGCATAGCCATGCCCTTCTCCAGGGGATCTTCCCGACCCAAGGCTGGAACCCAGGTCTCCTGCATTGTAGGGGGATTCATTATTGTCTGTGCCACCAGGGAATCCCCACCAAGAACCAGGTTTGAAGGAGCTGGGCTCAGTTGAGTCAGGGATGGTGTGGCCCCCAGAAATTGTCTTCTGGGGTGTCAACTCTACTTTCTGCCACGCTAGGGTCGGGGGGGTGCTCCTGACATTATAGGGGTCAAGGCCCGAGCAGTCTGCCCACATGCCTTCGGGAGCGGCTTAGGCCTGCACTGTGCTGAACTCTATACCCCGGCTGACCTGGCTTCTCCTGCTCCCCGCAGAGGACCTGGTGCAGATGCCTCCGACGCCCCCCAGCAGCCACGGCAGCGACAGCGATGGCTCCCAGAGTCCCCGCTCTCTGCCCCCCTCCAGCCCTATCCGGCCCATGGCCCGCTCCTCCACGGCCATCTCCACCTCTCCGCTCCTCACCGCCCCTCATGTAAGCAGCTGGGGCCAGACTGACCCCAGAGTCGAGGAATCCAGTGTCTGGGGGGAGCCCTAAGCCTGATCCCGACCCCCATCAGAACGCAGGAGGTGCCCGCCCCGCAGATGGGAGTGAAGATCTTTTAATCGTGCTTGGGGATGAATAGGAAATGGGGAAAGAGTCCAAGAGGCCTGCTGAACCCGCTGGCGGCAGAGCTAGGTCTAGAACTTGGCACTCCTGACCTCCAGGGGGGCGGCCCAGGCTGCCTCCAAGGAGCACTGTTTGAAGAGCAAAGCTCAGGAGACCCAGAAGCCCTGGGACAGGTGGGGGACCCCTCAGGTCTAGAGGTGGCAGGTGTCCGAAGTGAGCGCTGTCCAGGGGGCCCTGGACAAGTAAGCACTGAGGCTGTGGGTTCTGCGATGGGATCTAGGGACCAGCCCTTCCCAACAATGTATTGAGGGCCTAACGTGCCAGGCTGCCAGCAACATCCTCAGCACTTGTGACATGTTACTAGATTTAGTTCAGATCCGCCCCTCTTGCAGATGAGGAAACTGAGGTTCAGTGAGCTGGGTGCCTTGCCCAGGTCTTGCCGAGGGTAAATGGCCAAGCTCGGATTTGAATGCAGGGCTGTCTGGTTCCTAACTAGTATGTCCCCCTTGCTGCAGAAATTACAGGGGACGTCGGGGCCGCTGCTCCTGACGGAGGAGGAGAAGCGCACCCTGGTTGCTGAGGGCTACCCCATCCCCACCAAACTGCCCCTCACCAAAGCCGAGGAGAAGGCCTTGAAGAGGGTCCGGAGGAAAATCAAGAACAAGGTAAAGCAAGAGGCAGACCCTGGCTCTGCCCTGGCGCTTCCGTGGGGGTGGTGGGGGGCCTCTGCTCCCCTGGCCGTGCCAGTCCTGAAAATGGGGAGCCCAGGAAGTGGATGCCTGGCCTGGTAACCCTGTGAGGGACAGGGAAGCCTGGCCTACTGCGGTCCACGGGGTCACGGAGAGCCGGACGCAGCTCAGTGATTGAATAATAACAACTCCCGCTGGGGGCTTCCCCCTCTAGATCTCGGCCCAGGAGAGCCGCCGTAAGAAGAAGGAGTACGTGGAGTGTCTAGAAAAGAAGTAAGAGGCCTGGGGCGGGTGGACAGCCCGGGTGGCCTGGGCTCCGCTCCCCAACCTGGCTTCCTCTCCCACCCTCTCTCGGGGGCTGGGTGGGGGGCATGGGGAGGAGGATGCTGGTGGGCAGGGCAAAGGGGGCAGCAGAGAGACTTCCCTGGTGGTCCAGTGGTTACAACTCTGCTCCCAGTGCAGGGGGCACAGGTTCAAATCCTGGGCGGGGACTAAGATTCTGCGTGCCACACACCATGTGACCCGAAAATGGGGGTGGGGGGGAGTCAGGTCTGGGGGCTGCCGCTGAGCCTGTGCCTGCTTGGCCCCCACAGGGTGGAGACATTTACATCTGAGAACAATGAACTGTGGAAGAAGGTGGAAACCCTGGAGAATGCCAACAGGTGGGTGGTGCCACATGCGTTCCCCTCTGGCCCCCTACCCTTTGCAGCCAGTGGCTGGCTCTGGCATAGCTCTGGGAGGCAGGAGGGAGGACAGGCCACTGAGCTGAGGGTGATGCAAATCCCAGATACAGGGAGCCTGCGGCCTGGGGCCCTCAGTTTCCCATCCTCCTTTATCCATTCAGAACTCTAGATACCAGACGGGGCTGGAGAGATGCTTAAATGAGGTATTACAGGCCAGCAATAGCAGCAGCCCCTGGGCATTTGTTGAAGTGATTTGTGCTCAGGCCTCGTGCCAGCCCTACTGAATCTGGGGAAGATTCAAATCCACAGCCCATTTGTTAACAAGCCCTCAGGTTAATTCTGAGTCACGCTGAAGTTAGAGCCCTCGTGTACATGTTTATGACTCGAAGTGAGTTTCTCAGCCCAGGACGTCAACATCAGCTAGGGGCTTGCAGAAGTGCAGAATCTCTGGCCTCTCCCCACACTTAACTTGAATCAGAATCTACATTTCAGCAACACACTTAAGTGATTCACGCTCACGACTAAGTTTGAGAAACAGTCTGGAGCCCACACAGGGCCTGGCATGCGGTGGCCACGAAAAGTCACAACTCCGGGGGCTGTTTCTGTGATCTTGGGAAAACTGTAACACGTCTCTGGGCCCCAGTTTCTCTGTCTGCATGGAGACGATGGAAGCAGTATCTCCCCGGATTCATATGACAATGCCATGAGACCTAGCAAGTATAGGGCCTGCACTCTCCTTGGCATTTGAGAATGCTTCCTTCGTGTTAACTTTTCTTCTTCTCTTTTTCTGGCTGTTATTCTAAATTCTTGTTAGTGACCACTCATGAGCCCACAGTAGGTCTTTAATAATTGTTCGCTGGGAGTAATTAAAACGGCAGCCAGCAGCTGGTAGGGAGCAGGTGCTCAACAGAAGGCTTTTTCCTTCTTTCCTTCCTTCTCCCCCAGCTTCTCCAGCGGGATCCAGCCCCCCTGACTCAGGGAAGAGGGGTGGGAGCCCTCGCCCCTCACCCCCTTCCTCTGGCCCAGATTCCTCTCTGGTCCTGAATAGGGCCAGGCCCTTGGAGCTATTTCGCCACCTGCTGTACATTCTGGGAACTGCAACCCCATGGACCGGCTGGGCGGGAGGGAAGAGATGATTCAACATTTGTTCGCCAAGGGTGGGCTGAAGGGTGGGCTGATTCCTTGCTGGGGAGGACCCAGTCCCTGCCCTCAGGGAGCCCCCACAGTTAGCGAAAGAGACTGACGTCGACGTTCAGCTGCTCAGCCGTGTTCAGACACGTTAGATTTCCTCTCTTTGCGACGCCGTGGAATGACATACAGATCTGTAAATTAACGAAGTGTTACAGGTGCTGTGATAAAAGCGAAAGCAGCAACAAAAAATTAACAAAAATGGTAGCAACCGTTCCCCGCACGCTCACTCCTCACCATGTACCAGGCCGGTGCCAGACACGTCCTCCTTATCAGCTCAGGGTAGGAGGGAAGGTCAGTTTAGCTGCAGCTGGTGCGGGGTTAAAGAAAAAAAAGAAGGTGACCTCAGCCCAGGTGGGCTAGACCTGCCTCCAGCCTCCGCTTTGGCCAAGAGAAGCCTCACGGGGCCCCTCTGAGCTCCCACAGGGAGACCCAGTCATTCACCGTGAAGCGGGCGCCAGGTGCCCCGGCCACGCCACCGAGGAGCCAAGCGGGAAGTGACCTTTTCTGCCGGGAGTGAAGCGGGCACCTGGTGTGGAAGCCAAGGCTAGAGCCAGCCCAGGGGCCCCCAGCCCCACCCCGCACCCGGGGGAGCTCCAGGAGGCAGGGGTGCCCGCCGGCCGGGTCAGAGCCGCCAGGTGACCGCTCTGCCCCCCTCAGGACTCTGCTCCAGCAGCTGCAGAAGCTCCAGACTCTGGTCACCAACAAGATCTCCAGACCTTACAAGATGGCCGCCACCCAGACTGGGACCTGCCTCATGGTAGGTCACTGTCCCTCACCACAGAGCCGCCGGCGGCCTGGTCTCCCCCCGGCCGGTTTTCAGGGGAGTCGGGGGGGGGGGGGGGCGGTGTGCAGAGCTTTCAGGGACCAGCAATATTGTCAGCAGCGTCACCAGGGTCAAATATCCTAATCCCTGGTGCACTGGCTCCAGCAGACCCCAGCCTCTTTCACCAAAGCCCATGGAACCTTCCGGAACATGACCGTCCCTGACCGGTTCTGACACGGTGTGGATGTGTAGTGACTCACAGGAACCCTGCTAGGGGATGACAGGCCAAGCGCCGTGAGGAGGCAGCCCCTGAGGAGCCAGTGGGGGGATGGGCCTAGGGCGACGCGGGGAAGTGTGGACCTGCCTCTCTCTAGCGTGCATGGCGGGGTGCCCAGGCTGTGGCCGCGGCCTCTGCCGGCGTCTTTTCCACGTTCCCTGTAGCTGTACAGCCTGTTGCCTCCGGGTTAATCACTGCCCCCGGGCCCTCTGAGATCCTGGAGCTGACAGGTGGCAAAGCCGGAGTAGAGGCAGGTGTTAGTTTGGGCTCCATGACTCTTAGCTCCCCGTGCTGGCCAGTCTTCCTGGGAACCCGGCTGGGGATCTGGTATGAAGATATGTCCCTGTCCCTTGCCCCAGCCTCAGTCTCCTCCAGCGCCTACCCCTTCCTTCCTTTCCTGATTCCTTCCCACCCCAGAGGTGATAGCCACACTGCCAACTCCCTCTCTTCCAGTGCTGCCTGGGGTGGCCTCTCTCCAATGGGCTGAGATGGTCTGACAGCCTTCACCTTCTCCTCCACCACATGGGCTCTGGGAGCAGATTTCCTGAAAAAAAATGATGAGCCTTTGGCCCCCACTGGCTCATGGTGGGGGAGGGGGGAGGGCTTTGGGGGTGGCCAGGGTTGCAGCCCTCCCCTGGCCCGGCTCTGCCCACCACACTCTCTCCACTACCAGGTGGCAGCCTTGTGCTTCGTCCTGGTGCTGGGCTCCCTCGTGCCCTGCCTCCCCGAGTTCTCCTCTGGCTCCCAGACTGTGAAGGAAGACCCGATGGCCGCTGACAGCGTCTACACCGCCAGTCAGAGTGAGTGCCCCAAGCAGGGCTGCCCTCCCCCCACACCAGCCCCGACTTCTGGGCAGAAGACAGACGCAAGTGAGGAGCCAGGTCTGGGGCTGACTCATTCTACCTTCCCATTTTGCAGATGGGGAAACTGAGGCCCTTCCCAAGGGTCTATGATTTGTTCGATGTTATTTATAGAATTAGGACCACAATGCAGAGCCCCTGATTCCCAGCCCACCCAGGAGTGGCTTGGCTGGTGGGGGGCGCGGGGGGAAGGTTTAGGGAATAACAAGAATGTTCCCACTCTATCCCCCATGTATTATGGTGCCAGCTGGTAGGGGGCATCTGCTAATCCACCATCAGTGTTTTTCAACTGGGATAGCAAGTGAATTTCAGCTCCAGGGCCATTTTCCATAAGATGGTGGTGGCTGCATGAAGCACTGTTAGGGACTCTGAGGCCCCGTTCAGGATCAACAGGAAGGAGTGGTGAGATCCACGGGTAATGTCTGTCCCGGGCAGAAGCGTGGGGCTGAACTAGTTACCACCCCGTGGGGCTTGTGAGGACTGTTAAGAACATGGAGTTTCCCAGTCTGTCATATCTGCCCCTTGCTAAGTGTGTGAGCTGAGGTGTGTGTCTGAAGCATGCTAAATTTTAATCTCTTATCTCGAAAATGGGAGTTACCAGTTCCACGCTTATTGAGCATGTTTGCTGTGAAGACTGAATGACATGGTGCATGAAGGCTCTCGGTACAGTTCCTGGTACACAGCAGGCTCTTACTAAATGAACACCAGTTGCTCCCTTTTTGACGAGCTTGAAAAAGGAGAGAAAAGACATGACACGCAGTGGCCAGGGGAGAACCAGCACAGGGGCAGCAGAGAACAGTGTGGATCTCCAGAGGCAGAGGATACTTCAGACAGACCTCCAGAGGGACGTCCAGACGGCCCCTCCTCGCCTCCTGGAGCGAGCCATCCAGCAGGGCAGGAGGAGGAAAAGGAAACAGATGGGAGGTCGGGGAGAGCAGAGCCAGGAGCTGGGGAGGAGTGAGTTTCTAGAAGGAGGGATGCTGCCGGAGAGTGAGTTGGGCCTGCAGGGCCTGGAGGGGAGGGAGCGGCCCTGGGGATGGTTAGGGGAAGAGGAAGCAGAGGCGGGGAGTGAAAACCCCTCCCTGGGCCAGATCCGCCGGAGAAGGAGAGAAGAGGCAGTTGCTGAGGGAGGCGGGTGGCAGAGATGTCAGATCCGGTTTTCTCAAGGCCAGGGGGGTCTCTGTGATGGGAGGCACCGGGGAGAGGAAGGGATGGAAATTGGGGGAGTGGGATTAGGGGGAGGGGGAGGGGTGTTGATGGACAAAAGCAGCGTCAGAGGAGCGCAGGAATGAATGAGCCCCTCGGAGTGAATGCGGTGGGTTTCAGGCTCAGGGTCCCCACAGGACTGGGCGAAGGGGAGGAGGTGACCCCTGGAGCAGGCTGGCCCGTGGAGCTGGGGCAGCGCACAGATCCAGCGGCCCTGCCCAGGCAGACCGTGAGGTCAGGGCCCTGAGGGTGAGGAGGGTACTGGCGGATCCTGGAGTCAGGCGGGCCGGGGTCTGCAGCTCAGCCACCGTGCATCATCCTTAGTCTGGGACAACGTCCCTGACAACCTGGAGCCTCAGTGACCTGTTCTGTGAAATGGACCTAAAAACATCTCATTCCAAGAGTTTGTTAATGATTTGATATATGTTAAAGGATGCCAACAATATCTGATAGGCATGGTAGATATCCAACAAATGTGTTTTCTCATTTTCTCTTTTTCTCATCTCCTTGAGGGGTAAACTGGGGCCTCAAATAGGGGAAAGGTTTATTTAAGGTCTCACAGGAAGGGAGTGGTTCAGTAGGATGAGCCAGCTCTCAGATGCCCCAGCCCAGTGCCCTCTGCTCAGGGAGCGCTAACTCACTCTGAGTACAGTTTCAGTCACTCTGTTATCTCACTGAAACCTCATATTGACAGGAGGCTGGCCCCTAGTATTCCTATTTTACAGATGAGCAAGCTCAGAAAGGTGAAAGCAAAGGCATTGCATGCCTGCAGTCACACAGCTGGGAATCATTAGAGCTGGATTCAGATCCAGGCCTGAAAGAGTCCGGGGTCCAGGCCCTTGACCCCTGGGCCCTGAATGCGGCCTAGACTGGGAGGGAGCCTGGGCACCGTGGCTTACCCTGAGCTCCTTCTCCAGTGCCCTCCCGGAGCCTCCTGTTCTACGACGAGGGAGCAGGCTCATGGGAGGATGGCCGCAGTGCCCTGCTGCCCGTGGAGCCCCCGGATGGCTGGGAGATCAAGCCCGGGGGGCCGGTGGAGCAGCGGCCCCAGGACCACCTGCAGCATGACCACCGGGACAGCACCCACGAAACCAGCAAGTACCTGAGTGAGGCCTGGCCGAAGGACGTCGGCGGGAACAGCACGAGCCCTGACTTCTCCCACCCTGAGGAGTGGTTCCATGAGAGGTGGGTGGGCGGCCCCTTCCCTCCCTGGGGTCCCAGGATCCACCCAGCCTCCGCCCACCCTGGTCCCCGCGTTGTCAGCCACTCCCTCCCACGGCCCCCATCCCTCCCAAGTCCAAACCCAGCTTGCAGAGGGGCAAGAGGGTCCTCCCCGGACAGAGTCACCCCTGACTTCTCTTCTCTCTCCAGGGATCTGGGCCCCAACACCACCGTCAAGCTCTCCTAGGCCATGCCAAGACCCAGGACACAGGGCGCACCTCTGGTACTCAGAAGAGGGGTCGTCCTGCTCACCAACCCGGATCCGGCTCGTACCCCTGCCCCCTGGGGTCCCATCCCAGGAGAAAGGGTTCCACTCCCTCCGCCCACCAGCCCCTCTTTGCCCTAGATCTTGACCGGGGCCCCCCTTCCCCCCCACATTTGGACTGTTCCCTTGGGCCAACCACTGTGTTCTCACCCCCTCCCTCCCACAACCATCCGTCCTTCTTAGATAAACCACTCACTGAGTCACCCACCTCCTTTCTCATAATGACCAAGAGGACCACTGCCTCCCTGCCCCACCCCGACCACAAACACACACACACATCAACAGACTGACCCACTAAGCCCCTCCCCTCCCCCCCACTGTACAGAGACCAAGAACAGAAATTGTTTGTAAATAATGAACCTTATTTTTTATTATTGCCGATCCCTAAGATATTGTATTTTACAAGTCTCCCTCCTACCTTCAACCCTCCCTTGTTTTGTATTTTATGAAGTTAGTGCGGGCTTTGCTGCTCCCTGGCCCAGGGGAGAGGGTCCCCCCCAACCCCTCACCTGGCCTCCCCCCTGCTGCTGCCCAAGCCGCTGGGCCTTTTTAATTGCCAAACCGCTTCACCCATCAGCTCAGCACATGCTTTAAGAAGGCAAAAGTAAAAAAAAAAAAAAATGATGCAGCATCAATCCCCGACTTTGTGCCTTTCTTCATGGTAGGGGTCGTGGGCGGTGGGACTGGAGATGAAGGAACAAGAAGGGTAAGTTTATCTGGGGGCTTCCCAAGAGGCACTAGTGGTAAAGAACCCGCCTGCCAACGCAGGAGACATAAGAGATGCCGGTTCGATCCCTAGATCGGGAAGATCCCTTGGAGGATGGATGACTACTCACTCCAGTGTTCTTGCCTAGAGAATCCCATGGATAGAGCCTGGTGGGCTACGGTCCACAGGGTCGCAGAGTTGGACAGGCCTGTCGGATAGGAACAGGGATAGCACACACACAAGTTTATTTTATATCTGACCAGTAGTGATCGAGGGTGAGGGGTTTGAGAAGGCATTTGTATTGGGTCCCCTCTTCCAGCCAGGCACAGAATTCAAATTAGATGGCGAAAGAATTCTGCGGCAATCCCCCTACCCCAAGGCTCCTCCCAGTTCCTACTACTACTGTGTATGGAAGCAGAGCGGCATATAGGCCACGGAGCTGGCCTCCAGGGGTGGGAACTGTGAGCACTGAGTGTCCAGGCTGGCCAGACGCTGTGCCGGGCGCTGTACGCACAGTTCCCAGGCTGGTCCTCCTCGTTCCTGCCCACTTCTTACGTTGCCTCACCTGCATGAGAGGAGCACACTTCAGAGTAAAAAGAGCTGCCTTTGGCTACTGGAACTGCCGCCTGCTAGCCATGTGCAGTGGGCAGAAGTCCAACATGGCCTCCACCCTGGGGTGCACACCCAGGGTCATCCCTTCCCCTAGGGTCTGCAGGGGACCTGTGCGTGTCAGGGATGCCACTCCCATAGTTAAGTGACCTTTCATGGAAAAAGCAAAGGGGTTTTGCAGGTGTAATGAAGGTCCCAAATCAGTTGATACTGAGTTAATTAAATGGGAGGGACTCCCCTGGTGGTCCAGCGACTAAGACTCCATGCCCCCAAAGCAGGGGGCCCTAGTTTCGACCCCTGGTCAGGGAACTAGATCTCGCATGACACAAATAGGATGTGAGGTTGCCAAGCAAATAAATAATAAATAAAATATATATATATATTTCTTAAGGGAGACCACCCTGAGTGGGCCTGACTTAATTGGGTGAAAGCCATTAAAAGAGGGACTGAGCCCTTCCCTTCCCAAAGAGAAAGAGAGTCTCCTGCTGGCCTTAAAGAAGCAAATGGCCGTGTTCCATACTACATGGAGGGGGCAGCCTCTAGGCCCTGAGGGCCTCACGCTCCGGTGGCAAGGCACTGGATTCTGCCAACCACCTGAGCAGCTTAGAAGAGGACCCCCAGCTCCCGATGAGGCCCCCACCCAGCCAACACCTGGGCACCCACCTGGGGAGGGCCTGAGCACAGCACCCAGCCAAGCTGTGCCCTGAGCGGCAGACACGGAGGTCACACCTGTGTTGTTTTAAGCCTCCGTGTTTGTTGTAATTCGTTATGCAGTATAGGAAACTAAGACGCCATGTCACCTGAACCTCCCTGAGCCTCCACTGCCCCACCTTGTAAGAAAAGAATGTAAATAACATTCAGTGCATGAGGTTACTGGGAATTCAGTGAGGTAAATCATACAAGGGGTTTAGAACAGGACCCAGTGCACACTGACTCTGAGAAAGATTAACTGTGCCTTTAAAATATATGTGTGTGTGAGTCGCTTAGTCAGGTCTGACTCTTTGTGACCCCATGGTCTGTCTATGGAGTTCTCCAGGCAAGAATATTGGAGTGGGTTCCCATTCCCTCTCCAGGGGATCTTCCTAACCCAGGGATCAAACCCAGGTCTCCTGCATTGCAGGCAGATTCTTTACCATCTAAGCTATCAGGGAAGCCCCTTTTAAATTTTATATATATATATGTATATGTAAACTAATTTACCTATTTATTTGTTTGGCTGTACTGGGTCTTGTGTGGCATGTGGCATGTAGACTCTTAGTTTCAATATGTGGGATCTAGTTCGCTGACCAGGGATCGAACCCTGACCCCCGCATTGGAAGCACAGAGTCTTAGCATGAGGAAGTCCCTAGCTGTGCCTTTAGAGATAGTATTCATACAATGAGCTAAGGGCCAAGGTAGGGGTGCTGTTACAGCACAGAAAAGGGTGTTTCCCCCAGACAAGTGGCAAGGGCTTCCCGGAGTAGGTGACATCAAAGACTGTTGGAAGTAGGCAGGAGAGAGAAAGGAGGATCCCAGAAAGAAATGGCACGGGCAAAGCCCTCAAAAGTGGGAGAGAGAGCAGGAAAACTTCAAGAAAACCTCAAATAGTTCAGATTAGCCGGAGGGTAGAGAGCAAGAATGCTGAGAACTGAGGCTGGATAGTAATCAGGGGCCACAGCCAGAGGCCTTGAATGCCTGGATCAGGCCGTCGACCCTTATCACACAAGCATGATACTTTCATACTCAGAAGCAGGGACTGCGGTGGGATAGCACCTGGGTCAGCTGCCCACCAGAGGGGAAGACGGACAAGACCAGACAGAACTCTAGAGCTTCGGAACTGTCCTTCAAGGCCCATCCTCTCTCCCCGTTCTCCCACGGCCTCATCTAGACCACTTGATGGGGACCTCATTGCCTGCTGCTGCTGCTGCTGCTAAGTCACTTCAGTCGTGTCCGATTCTGTGTGACCCCATAGACGGCAGGCCACAGGCTCTGTAGTCCCTGGGATTCTCCAGGCAAGAACACTGGAGTGGGCTGCCATTTCCTTCCCCAGTGCATGAAAGTGAAAAGTGAAAGTGAAGTCGCTTAGTCGTGTCCGACGAGACCCGGTGGACTGCAGCCTACCAGTCTCCTCTGCCCATGGGATTTCCCAGGCAAGAGCACTGGGGTGGGTTGCCATTGCCTTCTCCGCTAAACTACGCAGGCCTTTTAAAGCAAAGGCATTAAAGTCTGGGCTCTGGGCCAAAGCTATGATTATTATTAACAAGAACTTTTAGCTCAACCCCCTTTCCTGATTGATTCATCCATTCCCTCTATTAGTCACTCAACAAACTGCTTTCAAAGGCCCCCCAGGATTGTGGAGGCGGCTGGGAAGTGAACCAGTCATCAGGCCCAGTGTGATGCAGGGGTGCTAAGGAAATACAGAAGAGTGTCATGTAGTTCAGATTCCATGGGTCAGGGAGGGCAACTTGGAGGAGGTGGCCTTTGACTGAGTTTTTTTTTTAATATGTTTGTATGTATGTATTTGGCTGTATCAGGTCTTAGTTGCAGCACTCAGGATCTTTGTTGCAACATGCGGGATCTTTCGCTGAGGTGCACAGGCTCTCAAGTTGTGGTACACTGGCTTAGCTGCTCCGCGGCATGTGGGATCTTAGTTCCCTGACCAGGTATCAAACTCACATCCCTGCATTGCAGGGTGGATTCTTAACAACTGGACCACCAGGAAAGTCCCTTGACTGAGTCTTAAAGGGTGGGTAGGAGTCGGCGAGGTACAGAAGGGCTTAGAGTGTTTGGGGTGCAGAGAATATCATGCAGACATGTAGTCATGAAAAGCAGGGCTAGGACTGGGGTGAGGCAAAGGGGTGGTTAGGGTGCAAAATTTAAGGAGGCACTTGTACAGCCCTGGGACTGAGCACCACCTTAAATGCGGCACTCTAAAGTATCACACTTGCCTCAACCTCCTCCTGGCCCTGATGGAAAGTATGGCCCTTTCAGGGATCTAAAGGGGAAAAAAGCATTTTATCCTGAAGGTGACAGAGAGTTACTGAATGTTTTTAAACCAGAGAGTGAGATAATCAGATTTGCCTGTCCTGGGGCTCTACGGGAGATAGAGCGAAGATGAGACAGATTCCAGAGATAATTAGAGGGAATTATCAACAGGCTTTGACATCAAATTGGCTGTGGGGTGCAAGAGTGAGGCTGGAGCCTGGCATGACATTTAGATGTCTGACTTCGAGGCCGTGGTGGCAGATAAGACCGTTCGCTGAGACAGGGAATGCCAGAGGAGGAGCAGGTTTGGAAAGAAAAAGAACTCACTTTAGTACATCTTGCATTTGAGCTGCCTGTAGAGTGTTCACATTAGCATGCAAGTCTAGGACTTGGCGGAGAGGGATCCCAGGCGGAGATTAGGAAATTGTCAGCATCCAGGTGGTATGTTAAAATCTTGGATCTGCCGAAAGGGAAAAGAGACTTGGGGCGGAACTACAGGGAAGGTGGACATTAAGAGATGGTAGAAGAAGGGGAGTGAACGAGAAGGCTGTGCAGGAATGGTCAGAGAGGGGAGAAACACTAGGAGAGGTGAGTGTCCTGGAAACTGATGCAGAGAGCTTCCGGGAGCGGAGCTCACAGCTGT